TGATCTGTAAATCTCGTTTCGAATTTTGAATTCGTGGTTACCTGAATTATAGGTAACAAAATCTGCACTTTTTTTTTTTAGAATTACCCTTTTTTTTGTGTGTTGATTTGGGGGAATCATGCCATGATTAATATATGGAGAGAGAGAGAGAAACGTATCAAATGGAATGTAGGAAAATCTCGTAGTTATGAAATTAAAATCACAATATAATCCTGTTTTGATTAATGTTTTGCAAGGGATGTATATATGTATGTACAAGGTAACAAGGGGCTATATGACGTAATTTTCCCTTAAAACAATTCACGGATTACGAACAACGTTAAAGCAAGTAAATTTGGGCCAATGCTGAAGGCCCAGAGTGCTGGTAAGGATGGTCTAGAAATACAGAAATATTATGCATATCCATTGCCCATCCAGTCTTCCATTGCTGAATTGGTCAGGTCCTTTTTAATAAATAAATAAAAAATTGGTCAAGTCCTCAATTCTTGATGCTTATGATAATTTAAGTCAGTGTCAACTAGTACAAATTTTTAATTGATGCAGTGTAACAATTAAACATGTCGGCTCTTCATAATTATTTAATTAAAACACGTATTTAAATTGATTAATATTTGAATTTGCCTAACAATTGTTCTACCGATTGGCAAATGTACCGTTTATGAGTTAAAAAAACTCAACTTTCTTATAATAAGTTTTAGCTCATTTTTTTATAACAAGTTGTTGACGGACGTTTCCGGTCAACGGTTAAAAAGGTAAATAATAGAAAAGGAGATAATGGGGAGACAAGAAAATACGGTTTAATTGCAGTTTATTGGTTGATCGCTAGGTCGGCCTCTCGCGCGAGGTCGGCACTTGCAATATCTTTACAAATCGTTACAGAGTAATTACGCGATTTTTAGAGGGAGAAAGTAGAGAGATAGCTATTACAGTTGAGTTTCAACAACCCAAAATAAATGAGAAGGGTTGCTATTTATAGTAGCCTTTAATGTGGCACTGTTCAGGTACTGTTCATCAGTCTTGTCATACAGTGTTCTTGCGGGACAATCCGGCGCTTCTCTGACAGCATTAAATGTGACTTGAGGTCTTCCTCATCATTAGGTGGCAGGCATTTAATGCTGACAGGCTTTATGCCTTAGCTAAGAGGGGTAGGTCTGCAGGCTATGATGTCCCATCCATTTAGCCAATGATTCCCCTCCAAGTGGCATTATTATACCATTATAGAGACCGGCATTCTCCGTCGTAGAGACCCGCTCTGGGACCCCAAGTCGGCGCCTCGGCATCTTACCTTCATCTGTTCCCCTGGTCCTGGGGAATCTTTCTTTCAGTCCGTTATTTTTCAGCCCGGCACCCGTGGGGTCGTAATTGAAAATACCGAACTGACGAATGGTCTCACGGCGATGCCAGGGTCAAAAGGTTTTCCGGTCCAGCTCGGCACTTTGTGGGCGGACCGGGTCTCTGGTTCGGCTCTCGGAATTGCGTGGTCCGGTTCAGTCTTATGGGCGAACCCGGATGTCAACAT